TCTTTGGGGGGCATTTTATATGGTTTGTGGGACCCCTTTTAGGTAGTCTACACTGTGGTTCTTGAACCTTGGTGATCATCAGAATTATCCACAGAGGCTCTTATTTAATGGGCCTGGGGTGAAGCTGGGGCATTAATTCTAAGCAAGGATTTACTTTTTTCATTTGTTCTAATTAGTTATGCAAGGCAGTAGAATGCATTTGGACACATCATACATAAATGGAGCGTGACTTCTCATTCTCCTGGTTGTATGTGATGTAGTATTCGCTGGTCATGTAATCATATATGCACATAGGGTAATGTCCCACTCATTTTACTTCCTTCCTACCCCCATACCCGCTGTCCCTGAGCAAGGATTTAAACCTTGGTTTCCTCATATGCAAAATGGAATAATCATACTATCTTCATAGATGTAAGAATTAAATAGAGTCATCTCTGTGAAGTGCCTCACACATGGTAAGTATTAGGGCCCCTTTGCTTCTGCTCAAGCTGTCTCCAAAGTTCAGAGGTTACATTCTTACACGTAAGACCTATAACTTGCTTCCCCCAAACTTAGTTTTGATGTCATCTCTGTCTAAATTTCTACTTTTACTCCCAGATTTTTTTTCCCAAACATATACCCAGCCACTTCACTTGAATGACAAAAAACTCAACGTATCTATAGCAACTCAAAATTGTCCCCTTCCATCCTTCTCCTGTAGCTTCCCATCTCAAAGAATGGCGTACACTCAAATGAGAAACTCAGAAGTCTGTTGGCACTTTTCCTCCTCCACGGTTCACACAGAACTGGTTCTAACCTTGGTCTATATCTTTAATCCACAATCTCCTAATTTTAATGGCTCACAAACTGGTTTTCAGGCACCCTCTGTTGCTACCTTCTTATTTATTCCCCACATCACTGCCAGAACCATCTTTTATAAATACAACTCTGATCATGTCCAGTTGGACCCTCTCCAACTCTTCAGTGGCTTCCTATTACCGTTAGGCTCAATTCCAAAGTCCTCAGCGTGATCCTCAAGGGCTCTGCTCCACACCTCCTTCAGGACTAGCCATCTTACTCTAACCATGGTGGCCTCTGCCCAAGGCCTTAGCAGGCAGAGCCCCTTCCTACTAGGGGTCTGGCAAAGGCTGTTCCTTCAGCAAGTGCATTCCCTGCCCCTAAACCCTTCTCTTGTTCTTCAAGGCTCAGATTAAATGTCACTTCCTCAAGGAGATCTTGCTTGCCCGAGCAGACAGACCCCTTTGTTCCACACTTCTGTAACTCCCAGGTTTTCTTCTGGCAATCATCACAATGATTGCTCCCTGGCCTCAATTCTGTGCCTCTTGCTTCACATTTTGAGTTGCCAGCTATCAGGCAGCAGACGAGAGAGTAATGTGATTGTTTTATCTGCACGCTCCGGACTTGCTGTTCAGAAGGGGAGGTTTCTTCACCTGATTTCAGCTCGAGTTATTTTCAGGGCTGAAATTGAATTTACATTTCAGTTCCGACTCTGAACATCCTCAGAAACACCCACTTGTGGAGAGCAAGATGCGCCTGCCTGCTCTGGGTTACTCCAGGTGGTGTAGAACAGCAGTCTCCAGACTGTGCCTAACCCTGAGTCACTCCTTTTATAAAGCAGCAGTTTGCCATGATCCACTCCATTTTGCGTATCCATTCTAAGGCAGAATGGCTTGGTAACTCGTCTAGGCAAATAAATACCCGATATTTGACATAAAGAATTTATTGAAAAAAAAATAATCCCCAGGTACATAGCACAATCATAAGGCACAATATGATAAATCAATCAATCATATGTTATGATTTGGGTATATGGTATCCCCCAAAAGTTCATGTGTGAGATAATTCAAGAATGTTTAAGAGGTGAAATGGTTAGGCTATGAAAGCCTTAACCTAACTGGTGGATTAATCCACTTATATGGATTAGCTGGGTGGTGACCACAGGCAGGTAGGGTATGGCTGGAGAAAGTAGGGAACTGGGGACGTGCCTCACTGGGGACATCCCTGTGAATAGAGTTTTCTCTCTGCTTCTGGGTGGACATGTCCTGAGCTGCTTTCCTCTGCTAGCCCTTCTGCCATGATGTGCTGCCTGACCTTGGGCCAAGTCAACCATGGACTGAGCCTCTGAAACCATGAGCCAAAACAAACCTTTCCTCTTCTAAGGTGTTCTTGTCTGGTCTTTAGGTCACAGCCATGAAAAAGCTGACTAAAACATCATGCTAACGAAAAATCATCACCTGGGAACTTACTGAATTAAATCTGAGGCACTTGGATGCAGGGGCGTATCAAATCCATGCTAGAGAAACCAGGCCCAAGAGCTTATCAAACACCCAAGTCCATCAAGTGACGCAATCCCCTCACCTGAAACGCCTAAGAAGAAGGGCACCTAAGATGGCGACCCCAACCTGTACTGTCATCGTTTCATACCACCTGAGATCAATAGGTGACAAAGATCCCAACTCTGGGGCTTTAACCCAGCTTGATCTCACTTCTTGACGTGGCCCACTTGGAACTTCCTGCCCTCTGTGCCTTGACCAGCTCCCTGAAACCTGAGCAGCTGCATGCCTCCAGAAATTTCCAAGGCTGGGTTCTTCCTTTTTCAGAATATCCCTCAGGGACTCTTCTACATCTCTATTAGCTCTCTGCCTCTGCTGTTATGCCTCTCAACTCTGTGGCCACTACTAACCCTTTATTAGATGCTCTGCAACCTATATATCATTGTGTAACGTGTGATGTAGGTCCCTAGTGTTATAGAGATTCACAATTAAAATTGGAACAGGATAAAAGATTGCGACTCTCATGACACCAAGTGAACCATGAGTACTCTGTGAATTAAACTGCTGGAATGGATACAGCTATGAATTTATTGCTAGTCAATAAATTCTGACCTTGTGGAAAGACACAAACAAGTCCAGTCTGGGTTAATGACATAGCTACCAACAACACTACATTGTGACACACAGAATGAAGAACATAAGTAGAAAGTTGTCTGCCATATGCCAATTAATTGAAATGAAGTGTGGCAGAAACCATCAACTCATTCAGGAAAAAATGGTGGAATTTCAAAACCACCAGAGGTTGTTTCTCCTATATGTGCTGTGTGTAGAATTCTTGAAAGACATATGACCCAGGGGAGGAACACCTATTAAGTTGGAACTTCTGGCAAATCTTCAAGAGCACCTAGTTATTTTCTAATGTAGTTAAAACAACAACAACAACACATTAAGAATCATTTGAAAATGCAGTCAAAACCCTGCTTTCCTAGGTCAAAGGACAAAATGACAATTTAACTGTTTTTTAATGGGTTTTATTTTCTGATTGTAGAACGGGTCAACATTTTATTCCACAAAATAGAGTAAGCAGATAAGCAAAGCATAACAGGTTTGTTTTATGGACACAAAAGGGCTGAAGAAAGAAGAAATAAAAAATGAAAAGCAGACTGATCATTTCAAAGTGAGTTTTCTTGTTTCTTTAAGGTAGGGACAAGGAAACCAGAATAATAGGAAAAAACCTGAAATCAGGTTACTTCGTGTTACCTTTTTTTTGTACAAGAATTAAGATAGACACCACTTCCTTGTCAAGCCAATCAAAACCGCTGTTGCTCTTGAGGTCACAGTTTAGCTTCATCTTGGTGATGTGGAACTTTGGCCACTCCATTTTGAGTTTTAGCCTGCTCTTAGGGCCCAGTGCAAGAGCCCAGTCCAAAAAAAACGGTGGCTTCCTGTAATTAGCATTTAACACCCCTGTTGTTTGCAATGGAACATTCATTCTTAAAAGGTGTCCTGAAAACCATCAGAACGGAGATAGTAGCCTCCACATGCAGGACTTCAAATGGCCAAGAGTGACATGGAAGCACCTTTCACCCTGAAGATGAAGGTTAAAGTTCAAAGTTTGATTGTAAAACGAAAGGAGGTGAAATGTGCCTAAACATTCGCTGGTGCCCTTCACCACCTGAAAACCTATTAAATCATGGTGGAACTCAGACTTGGTAGAAGCTGTGATCTGATTTTTAAAATGAGTCTTCCCTTCAGAATAAGTGTTCCTCTGGAGTTGCCCCGGGGCACATCCCTTCGCCCGAGTCACAGACAATAGATGCCCGTTAGCAGCTGTTCCCAAGGGGCTTCACCTTCACCTGGGTTGGAAGGGAAACGTGGGCAGGCAGAGCCGCTCCGCGAGCAGCCGCCGCCCGGCGCCCCTCGCCCAGGCTCCCACCTCCCTCGCGCGGGGAAGGTGCTGCGGGCTGCGCGGCATCTCACTCCTTCCCTTGGACCTCGGCTCTTGCGCGGCCCACGCTCTGCGCTGCACGGCGGAAAAGCACGCGCAGGTCACATGTGCCTGGGTTTTAATCCAGAAGCACGATCCCCGCCGAACCGAGGCCCTCGGTCTGGGAGCAGACGCCGTGAGTCGCGGACTCTGGGGTCCGGACGTCGGCGCGGGCGCCGTGGGGGTGCCGGGCGGGGTGGCGCGCAGGGTGACCGTCCTCCGCGGCCACCGCGCCGCATCCCCGAGCGGCCCCCGGTGGGCACCCTCCTGGCGCGGGGCCGGGGGCGGCGCCGGTGGCCGGGTCGCCGCGGGGCGGCCACATCACCAGCGCGGGCGGCGGCGGGGCGTGCGCCTGCGCGGGTCGGGGCGGGGCGGGCCGCGGGCGCCGGCTGTCAGCGCGGGGCCGCGACGGCGCCTGGAGGCGCGCGAGCAGGAAGGACCGCGGGCCGGAGCCGCCGCCCGCCCCGCCGCCGGTGCCGGGCTCTAGGTGAATGCCCCTTCCCCGCGCTCCCGGCGGCCGCGGCCCGGTTGAGGGACTGGCCTCGCTCCCGCCGGCCGCCGCCGCCCCGGCAGGTGGTCGCGGAGGGAAAGTCCGGCTTCGCCCGCGGCGCGGGGTCCCGGCGCATCCCAGGTGGTGGAGGGAGGTGGGGCGGGGACCCGCGGCAGGCCGGGCTGGGCCGGGGCGCGCACACCGGACCCTCCTCGCGCGCCCCGCCGCCGCCGCCGCCGCGGACCTGTCGCCCGGCCCCGCAGCCCCGACCCGAGCGCGGGCGGTGGCCGAGCGCGGACGCGGATGCTGGCGGGGGCCTCCGGCACACCGAGTCCGGCTTCGAGGCTGTCACCCGGGTCTGGTCTGTCTGTACAGTAAGTGTGTCTTCATTAAGAAAAGAACAAATAATAATAATATAAAAACCCCAGTGTTCATTTGTGGGAAGAGATGACACACTGATGTCTGTGACTTGTGGCTTACGTTTATGTGGAGATTACACATGTCATCCTTTTGTAAATGAGTGATTTTAAAAATCGAGATTTACGCCACGTTCCATCCAACTCGTCCCTCGGAAGTGTGGATTTTCGTGTCCACGGAGTTTTGCCACTGCCACCACTATTCAGAACATTGACCTCGTCCCCCAAAGAAACCTGTCCCCGTTGGCAGTGACTTCTCGCTTCCCCCGACCCCACCCCTTCGCAACCACTAATCTGCTTTCTGTCCCTGTGGGTTGCCTGCGGTGGACCTTTCCGATAAATGGAATCAAGGATGGGTGTCTTTCCGTCTGGCTTCTTTCACGTAGCATAGGGTTTTCAAGGTTCATTCATGCTTTAGTGTGCATTAGTACTTTATTTTTGTTAATAGCTGAATGATTCTCTGAAGTGTCATACAGTTCCCCCTTTTGCTCATCTGTTCACCAGTTCATGTACGATTGGGTTTGGTTTTATTTAGATATTGAATATGATACTGCCATGAATATTTGCGGACATATGTTTTGAGTGCACTTGAGCATATACCTAGAAGTGGAAGCGCTCTGTTTAACTTTTTGAAAAACTCCCAGGCTTTACCAAAGCAGCTGTAGCTTTCTACATTCCCTCCAAGCAGTGTATGAGGGTTCCCAGTCGCTTCACCTCCCCACCAGCACTTGTTATTTTCTATTGACTCCCTTTTAAGTTCTGGCCACCCTAGCGGGTGTGAAGCGGTACCTCTTTGTGGTTTTGATTTGCATTTCCCTCATGGTAGGGATGTCAGGCATCTTTTCATATGCGTATTGGTCATTTGTGTATCTTTTTTTGGAGAAATAGCTGTTCAAATCCTTTGCCCTAATTGTCATTGGGTTATTTGACTTTTTACGGTAGAGTTGTGGTGTTCATTTATTAAAAAAAAAAAAAACGCATTCTGGGTTTTGGGACTAGCACTGATTTAAAAAAAAAAAAGCCAACCAACACAACACTAAAATCTGTAATTCTTACACCTGTACTTGGGTAAATGTTGAATAAGTGCCATTTAATCCTTTCACAACACTCTACTTATTATTGGCCTCTTTCCTGTACCCCTTCTATTTTCTCTTATGAGAGATGCTTCAGAAGTCCTGACCAGAGTCAAGAGGGCTAACCTGTACTTGCTATTTTCATATATTCTATGCTTAGTTTGAAAAGTTCTGGTTATCACTTTAATTACAAATAATTTATATTGGTGTCTAGTTAGATGAGCTAATAATAGATTAAATTACTCAGAATTTTATATGCTTCTTGTGAAACAGAGGGTCTTATTTTCCTCAGTTTGTGTCATTTTTAGTACAACCATGGGTGGTAAATATTTTTGATGGCATTAAAGAGCCATTTACAGGTGAATGAGCACTGTTATGCCTATTGCTTGTTAATTTTTCAGTATGCACCAATTCAGCATCAGATCTTGATAGCAAAAATTACTTTGACAGCACTTCCAAGAATTCAGACTCATTGTGCACTAATCTAATAGATTAAAGAAAAAAAATTCAACAATACCTGATAAAGTATAATAAGAAGATTTATTTATTTAAAAAAAATTTAGTTGTAGATGGACACACTACCTTTATTTTACCTATGTGGTGCTGAGGATCGAACCCTGTGCCCCATGCATGCAAGGCGTGTGAGGCCCTGGATTTGATCCTCAGCACCACATATGAATAAATAAATGAAATAGAAGATCCACTTACAAATAAAAAAAATTTAAAAAAGAGAAAAGGTTTATAGGGACCATGGCAATAGGATTTTGCAGAGTTGGGGAGAGAGACTGGGCTCAATTCTGAATATAGCATGGGCAAGTAGGAAGTGATGTCCAAGGAGCAGAGTGGATAGGAAAGTACAAAGGGAGGCCAGGGTGTGGCTTCAGGGTAGAGTGCTCTCGTGGCATGCGCGAGGCCCTAGGTTGGATCCCAATGCTGAAAAAAAAATTAACAAAATAAAAATTTAAAGGCCTCCTTGAGAAGTACAAAGGGCAAACATCAGGGGTTGGGGTTTTCTGGCCAGTCCAACATAACAGGATTTTGGTAAAGATAGATCCCATGATCAATCACCTGGGGGAATGTGGGGGAGCCTGATTAGATAGTCAAGGTGGGAGTTTCTGGTTAAACTAACTCAGCAGGATTCTTTGCTAAACCTGAATTTTACAATGTGCACAGATGGCCCTAGGAGAAGGTTCAGGAATTGGATTAGAGTTTGGTCATGCAAGAATCTTTGTCACTGTTTAAAAGTGTACTACCAAATTTCAGAAGCGTTATAGAAAATAAAAATTTTGAAATAGAAACAGTGAAAAAAGCAACTGATTAAAAGTATGTGAAGTACAGTGCCAATACCCTGTAACCCCAGCTATTTGGGAGGCAGAGAAAGGAGGATCTCAAGTTCAAGGCCACCTTGCGTAACTTGACATGGCCCTATCAACAAAAAAGATAACAAGGATTGGGGCTGGGGCTGGGTACTGTGGTGCACATTTGTAATTCCAGTGGCTAGGGAGGCTGAGACAGGAGAATCAGGAGTTCAAAGCCAGCCTCAGCAATATAGCAATTTAGCGAGGCCCTAAGCAACTTAATGAGACCCTGTCTCTAAATAAAACATAGAAAGGGGCTGGGGATGTGGCATAGTAGTAGAGCACCCCTGGATTCAATGCCCAGTACCACTAAATAAAGTGTGTGGAGAGCAGCTTCAGCTCTACTTCAACCTATGGATTATAAACAGTGGTAATATAATAATAATAATAATATTATTATTATATAATATTATAAACAGTGCTAATATTATTGACTCTTTTATGCCTTGCTGCCTTTATTAGAAGAATAAGGTTGACATTTTCAGTGTATAACTGTGGTTTTTGTTTTGTTTTAGCTATTGAGATTTTTTTTGTGTGGGGGGGAGGTGATTCTGGGGGTCGAACCCAGGGTCTTGGGGTGCAAGGTAGGTACTCTACCACTGCACTACATCTCTAGACCTTTTGAAAAGTTTTTGTTTTGAGACAGGTCTTGCTCTGTTGCCCAGGCTGGGTTCAAACTTGTGATTCTCCTGACTTGGCTTTCCAAGCACCTGGAATTACAGGTTTGCACCACTGTGCCCAGCTGTTTCTTCTTAATTTACGCACCTACTCAGATGAAACCGTAGCACCTGAAAAACTTCGGGTTTCCCTGCAGGAAGGAAAGTCCTGCCCTAAGGTGTTTCCTCATAGGAGGTGAAATGTAAAGGAAAACTTTCTCTAAGGCAATATAAGCCCATAAAGAGCCAGCGAGAGCCTGTCTTATTGACCTTTATCCCTGTTTTAGCAATTAGATAAGTTACTGTAAGAGAAACTAATGATAGGGATGGAGAAAAAGAAGTGTCTCTTTAATCTTGTTTACTTTTACTTAAACATGTGAAAGTTCTGTTGCCGTTCAGAGGGGGACACAAGCAGTCTCCTCATGAGTTGTGGGGTGAGTAAAAGGGTTTTGTGGGCTAGCCTAGGGGATCGGTCACCATTCACAAAAATAACTGCTATTATATTTTCCTTGGAAAAGACTAAACCTCTTTTAAAAAAAAAACTTTTAAAGTGGGTGACCATTTCATTATGTGGTTAAATACATAGATTATATAAGTCCATTTCCTTGTGTTTACTCAAATATTTACCGAGTGTCTAATATGTTAACAGGCATGAGGCTGGGCCCTGGGGATTCAGTGGCGGTCAGGAATGGGTCCTCGCCACCATGAGTTTACAGTCTAGAACTTTGGGACCAGAGGAGGGGAATGAATTTCAAAGGCCAGGAAAGTGATGTCTATGAGCCAAGATCATGAGCAGGATCGGAGAAGCCAGGCGAAAGGGAAGAGAATGTGCAGTACCTGAGGGTGGAACTTTTCTAACTGCAAGTGCTTACTAGTATTTTGTGGCATCAGTTTAGTATCTTGTGTGACAGCATGTGTGTGTGTGTGTATGTGTGTGTGTTTGGTACTGGGGACTCAACCCAAGGTCACTTAACCTCTGCGCCACATCCCCAGCCCCTTTATTTTTTGAGACAGGGCCTCTCCAAGTTGTTTAGGATCTCACTAAGTTGCTGAGACTGGCTTTGAATTTACCATCCTCCTGCTTCAGCCTCCTGAGCTACTGAGACCACAGGCGTGCATCACTGTGCCCAGCAAACCAGTGTTGTTGTTGTTTTTTTTTTTTTTAATTTTTTAAATTTTTTTTTTAGTTGTAGTTGGACACAATGCCTTTATTTTATTTCTTTATTTTTATGTGGTGCTGAGGATCGAACCCAGGGCTACCCACGTGCTAGGCGAGCGCTCTACCTCTGGGCTACAACCCCAGCCCCCACCAGTGTGTTTTTAAAAAAGAAATAAAATAGGAAGGATGGGTCACATGTAGCTACTTACTAGATGGTGAGGGTGGGTGGGGTGGTTTATGCAGGACGAGTTAACCTTATGAAAGTTTGGATTTATCTCAGAGGAAATGAGAAGGCACTGAATTTAGTTGGGGCCTGATTAGATCCATATTTTTCTGAAGGTCTCATTCAGTGTGGAGTCTTTCAACTCAAGTTCAAACTTCAAGTCTCTTGGCCTCGTGTTCCAGGTATTCTAAAATCTGGTTCCAGTCCATTCTAAAGCAGCTTTCCATTGTTTTTATTATTAGAATCTTCTATTTCATAAAGATTCTTTGCCTACCTTTGCATCATGAAGGCAGGCTCTGAGAACAGATCTTACTTTTGTCTTTTCACAGTGAATCTTGCAAGTAGCATGGTGCCTGGTACAGCTGGAGACTAAGAAAATTTTTGTTAATACAGTCTAATTATATACAGTTAATAGAAATGTTATGTAGTAGTGGAGGTGGCTTTGCTGCTCCTAGTAATAACTTGCTTTTGAACCAAAAAAAAAGGTTT